TTTTCTCCCCCCCTTATCCCTTAAAAAAGGGGGGAAAACGCCCTTTGTTTTCTCCCCCCCCTTCCCCCAAACACAGGGGGGGAACGTCGATTCTCCCCCCTTTTTTTCCCCCTATACACATTTGGGGCTACGCCCTGATTTTCCCCCCTTTTCCCCCCACAATGGGGTTTAACGTCTGTTTTCCACCCTTCCCCCCCTTACACAGGGGGGATACCCCTGATTCCCCCACTCTTTACCAAAAACTGGGGATACGTCCTGATTCTCCACCCTTCCCCCTATACAAACGGGGGGGGGAAAAACCCCCTTGATTCTCCCCCCCTTTTCCCCCCCACTGGGGATACGTCCGATTCTCCCCCCCCTTTCTCCCTTTTTCCCAAAAGGGGGGTACGTCTGATTCTCCCCCCCTTCCCCCTTTAAAACACTGGGGATACGTCCGGTTTCTCCCCCCCCTTCCCCAAAAAGGGGGAACTTTTCCCTGTTTTTCCCACCTTCTCCCTAAAACCACGGGGATACGTCCTGATTCTCCACCCTTCTCCCTATACATACTGGGGCTTACGTCCTGATTCTCCATCCTTTTCCCTCATACTGGGGATACGTCCTGATTCTCCACTCTTCTCCCACACACTGGGGATACGTCCTGATTCTCCACCCTTCTCCCTATACACACTGGGGATACGTCCTGATTCTCCACTCTTCTCCCACACACTGGGGATACGTCCTGATTCTCCACCCTTCTCCCACACACTGGGGATACGTCCTGATTCTCCACTCTTCTCCCACACACTGGGGATACGTCCTGATTCTCCACCCTTCTCCCTATACACACTGGGGCTACGTCCTGATTCTCCACTCTTCTCCCACACACTGGGGATACGTCCTGATTCTCCACCCTTCTCCCACACACTGGGGATACGTCCTGATTCTCCACTCTTCTCCCACACACTGGGGATACGTCCTGATTCTCCACCCTTCTCCCACACACTGGGGATACGTCCTGATTCTCCACCCTTCTCCCTATACACACTGGGGATACGTCCTGATTCTCCACTCTTCTCCCGAAGTGTGCGCATGGATTTAAAAGCATATGATTGGTGAAAGCATTGGCTGGAGGGAGTTTTCACTGTTGTTAAATCCATGTGAGGAAGTGTGCAAGTGTACAGTCTAGGAGAAGGGTGGAGAATCAGGACGTAGCCCCATTGTGTGGTAGAAGGGTGGAGAATTGGAACGTAGCCCCAGTGTGTGGTAGAAGGGTGGAGAATTGGAATGTAGCCCCAGTGTGTGGTAGAAGGGTGGAGAATTGGAACGTAGCCCCAGTGTGTGGTAGAAGGGTGGAGAATTAGAACGTAGCCCCAGTGTGTGGTAGAAGGGTGGAGAATTGGAACGTAGCCCCAGTGTGTGTGTGACCCTGGGTTCAGCAGCTCTGAACAGCCTGTCTGCTCAACCTTGCTCTGGTTGGCTACTGTCTGCAATTGACTGTACAACACACACACACACACACACACACACACACACACACACACACACACTCACACACACACACACTGATCATTTGCCTAAATCCCACAGTTGAGGACTTGTTGTTCTTTGGGTGATTTGCATAACCATCTAGAGAGAGAGAGATGGTCTAGTCCAGAATACCCCCCTCTATAGAGAGAGATTGTCTAGTCCAGATTAAATCGAATCAAGCTTTATTTATACAGCACATTTCAGACATGGAATGCAACACAATGTCCTTCACAGGGAAAAACTTATAAAAATAAGAAAATAAAAGCAGAAATATTTAAATATTTACTACACTACAAACACAAGATAAAAACTAAAGAATGACAAACTGAAGGACTCAAAAGCATCCTGAGGAAAAGCAAAGCTAACAAGATGTGTTTTAATATCTCTTTTCAATATGTCCCCAGTTTCAGCCCCCATCAGGTTCTCTGGCAGGCTATTCCAGAGGCTGGGGGCATAGTAACTAAAGGCTGCCTCTCCATGCCTCTTGGTCCTGGGTTTGGGATAGTTAAAAGGCCAGTGCCAGAGGACCTGAGGGACCTACTGGGCACATAACTTAAAAGCATGTCTGATATGTATTGGGGTGCACAATCGTGGATTGTAATTGATAAAATTAACTCTAGAACTCACAGGCAGCCAGGGCAGAGTCCTTAAAACAGGTGTAATGTCCACCTGGTCCTGGTCTGTACCCGTGCTGCAGCATTCAGCATATATACAGTGAGGGAAGAAAGTATTTGATCCCCTGCTGATTTTGTACGTTTGCCCACTGACAAAGAAATGATCAGTCTATAATTTTAATGGTAGGTTTATTTGAACAGTGAGAGACAGAATAACAACAAAAAAATCCAGAAACACGCATGTCAAAAATGTTATAAATTGATTTGCATTTTAATGAGGGAAATAAGTATTTGACCCCTCTGCAAAACATGACTTAGTACTTGGTGGCAAAACCCTTGTTGGCAATCACAGAGGTCAGACGTTTCTTGTAGTTGGCCACCAGGTTTGCACACATCTCAGGAGGGATTTTGTCCCACTCCTCTTTGCAGATCTTCTCCAAGTCATTAAGGTTTCGAGGCTGACGTTTGGCAACTCGAACCTTCAGCTCCCTCCACAGATTTTCTATGGGATTAAGGTCTGGAGACTGGCTAGGCCACTCCAGGACCTTAATGTGCTTCTTCTTGAGCCACTCCTTTGTTGCCTTGGCCGTGTGTTTTCGGTCATTGTCATGCTGGAATACCCATCCACGACCCTTTTTCAATGCCCTGGCTGAGGGAAGGAGGTTCTCACCCAAGATTTGATGGTACATGGCCCCGTCCATCGTCCCTTTGATGCAGTGAAGTTGTCCTGTCCCCTTAGCAGAAAAACACCCCCAAAGCATAATGTTTCCACCTCCATGTTTGACGGTGGGGATGGTGTTCTTGGGGTCATAGGCAGCATTCCTCCTCCTCCAAACATGGCGAGTTGAGATGATGCCAAAGAGCTCCATTTTGGTCTCATCTGACCACAATACTTTCACCCAGTTCTCCTCTGAATCATTCAGATGTTCATTGGCAAACTTCAGACGGGCAAGTATATGTGCTTTCTTGAGCAGGGGGACCTTGCGGGCGCTGCAGGATTTCAGTCCTTCACGGCGTAGTGTGTTACCAATTGTTTCCTTGGTGACTATGGTCCCAGCTGCCTTGAGATCATTGACAAGATCCTCCGGTGTAGTTCTGGGCTGATTCCTCACCGTTCTCATGATCATTGCAACTCCACGAGGTGAGATTTTGCATGGAGCCCCAGGCCGAGGGAGATTGACAGTTCATTTGTGTTTCTTCCATTTGCGAATAATCGCACCAACTGTTGTCACCTTCTCACCAAGCTGCTTGGCGATGGTCTTGTAGCCCATTCCAGCCTTGTGTAGGTCTACAATCTTGTTCCTGACATCCTTGGAGAGCTCTTTGGTCTTGGCCATGGTGGAGAGTTTGGAATCTGATTAATTGATTGCTTCTGTGGACAGGTGTCTTTTTATACAGGTAACAAACTGAGATTAGGAGCACTCCCTTTAAGAGTGTGCTCCTAATCTCAGCTCGTTACCTGTATAAAAGACACCTGGGAGCCAGAAATCTTTCTGATTGAGAGGGGGTCAAATACTTATTTCCCTCATTAAAATGCAAATCAATTTATAACATTTTTGACATGCGTTTTTCTGGATTTCTTTGTTGTTATTCTGTCTCTCACTGTTCAAATAAATCTACCATTAAAATTATAGACTGATCATTTCTTTGTCAGTGGGCAAACGTACAAAATAAGCAGGGGATCAAATACTTTTTTCCCTCACTGTATAACAATGGCACCGGAGGGGATGGCAGCCGTTTTACAGGGCTCCTAACCAACTGTGCTATTTTGTTAGTTTTTTCGCATTGTTTGTAACTTATTTTGTACATAATGTTGCTGCTACCGTCTCTTATGACCGAAAAGAGCTTCTGGTCATCAGAACAGCGATTACTCACCTCGAACTGGACGAATATATTTTCTTTAATGAGTCCGATGCGAAGGATATACTGCTTCACCGAGACCAGGCCCAAATCCCCGTCATTCGCGTGGAGAAAAGATGGAGATACAGGGGGCGAAGGTCGGGGTGCCTTGTGAGGATTCATTGGCGAGTGGGTAAACCGCCTCTACCATTCGTTTTATTGGCCAAGGTGCAATCACTGGAAAATAAACTGGATGATCTACGGTCGAGAGTATCCTTCCAATGGGACATTAAAAACTGTAATATTATATGTTTCACCGAGTCGTGGCTGAATGACGACATGGATAATATTCAGTTGGCTGGATTTTCCGTGCATCGGCAGGACAGAGCAGCTACGTCTGGTAAGACGAGGGGTGGGGGTGTGTCTCTATTTATCAATAACATCTGGTGCAGGATGTCTAATATTAAGGAAGTCTCAAGGTATTGCTCGCCTGAGGTAGAGTACCTCATGATGAGCTGTAGACCCACTATCTACCAAGAGAGTTCTCATCTATATTATTCGTATCCGTCTATTTACCACCACAAACCAATGCCAGCACTAAGACCGCACTCAACGGGCTGGATAAGGCCATAAGCAAACAAGAAAATGCTCATCCAGAAGCGGCGCTCCTAGTGGCCGGGGACTTTAATGCAGGCAAATTTAAATCCGTTTTACCTAATTTCTACCAGCATGTCACATGTGCAACCAGAGGAAAAAAAACTCTAGACCAGAGTTTGTCTCTCCATACCTCTCTCTTTCTAACAAGTCTGTCTCTCTCCATACCTCTCTCTTTCTAACAAGTATGTCTCTCTCTTTCTAACAAGTATGTCTCTCTCTTTCTAACAAGTATGTGTCTCCATACCTCTCTCTCCTCCCTCCTTCTCTCTCTCCTCCCTCCTTCTCTCTCTCCTTTTGTCCTCTCCCAGACACCTGATCTGTCCATTCTGAGGAGATTCTGATCTTTTTCACATCTGTCCTCTAAAACAGGTCACACACACACACATGGCCTGTGGTTACAGTAGGTATGTGCTCATCTCTGTGAGAATCCTAATGAACTGCTACAAACTGTGCACTCCTTCACTCCACTTCTCTCTGTAGTGTGCACTCCTTCACTCCACTTCTCTCTGTAGTGTGCACTCCTTCACTCCACTTCTCTCTGTAGTGTGCACTCCTTCACTCCACTTCTCTCTGTAGTGTGCACTCCTTCACTCCACTTCTCTCTGTAGTGTGCACTCCTTCACTCCACTTCTCTCTGTAGTGTGCACTCCTTCACTCCACTTCTCTCTGTACTGTGCACTCCTTCACTCCACTTCTCTTTGTAGGGTGCACTCCTTCACTCCCCTTCTCTCTGTAGTGTGCACTCCTTCACTCCACTTCTCTCTGTAGTGTGCACTCCTTCACTCCCCTTCTCTCTGTAGTGTGCACTCCTTCACTCCCCTTCTCTTTGTAGGGTGCACTTGTTCACTCCCCCTCATGGTGATTGGTGTACGGTATTCTAGAAAGGTGTTTTAATATTCAACATTTCACACAGTTCAGACAATATGGCCGCCGCATCGAATTTTACTGTGAACATCTCAAACAGGTTACATAACGTGTGTGTGTGTGTGCGCAGGGTGAGGCTGAGTGAGAGCAGGCTCTCTCTGTTGCATCAGTATGCCAGAGACCACAGCAAATCACCCCCCTCTCAGCCTATAAATAAACCCTGGGGTGTGTGAGTGTGGCACATGGAACAGGCCTCAGCAGCAATCCCAGAATTCCTGTGCCAGTCATGTGACCCTGGAGTCTGTTATTTTTGCATGTTCAGTTCGAAGGGGGTTAGGGTGTGTTAAGGTTAGTTAAGGTTAGGGCCTGAGGTAGGTGAATCACTAATCTTAACATAATTACATAATATAGTTATTTGGAAGATGAAATAATGTGGTTACTGTAGATACATTGAACTGATATCTTGTGATGCAAAGCAAACACAACCGTAACCCCCAGGCCTTTATAAACACACAACCGTAACCCCCAGGCCTTTATAAACACACAACCGTAACCCCCAGGCCTTTATAAACACACAACCGTAACCCCCAGGCCTTTATAAACACACAACCGTAACCCCCAGGCCTTTATAAACACATTTACATTTACATTTACGTCATTTAGCTGACGCTCTTATCCAGAGCGACTTACAGTCAGTGAGTGCATACATTATTATTTTCATACTGGCCCCCCGTGGGAAACGAACCCACAACCCTGGCGTTGCAAATGCCATGCTCTATCAACTGAGCTACCTCCCTGCCTGCCATTCCCTCCCCTACCCTGGACGACGCTGGGCCAATTGTGCGCCGCCCCATTGGTCTCCCGGTTGCGGCCGGCTACAGCAGAGCCTGGATTCGAACCAGGATCTCTAGTGGCACAGCTAGCACTGCGATGCAGTGCCTTAGACCACTGCGCCACTCGGGAGGCCCGTACTCGGGAGGCCCAACCGTAACCCCCAGGCCTTTATAAACACACAACCGTAACCCCCAGGCCTTTATAAACACACACCGTAACCCCCAGGCCTTTATAAACACACAACCGTAACCCCCAGGCCTTTATAAACACACAACCGTAACCCCCAGGCCTTTATTATAAACACACAACCGTAACCCCCAGGCCTTTATTATAAACACACAACCGTAACCCCCAGGCCTTTATTATAAACACACAACCGTAACCCCCAGGCCTTTATAAACACACAACCGTAACCCCCAGGCCTTTATTATAAACACACAACCGTAACTCCCAGGCCTTTATAAACACACAACCGTAACCCCCAGGCCTTTATAAACACACAACCGTAACCCCCAGGCCTTTATTATAAACACACAACCGTAACCCCCAGGCCTTTATTATAAACACAGTGTGTTGTCTGTTCTCTCCAGGCATCTCCAACCCCAAACAGCCCAAGAATGAAGGAAAGAGTTTCACCTTTGACTACTCCTACTGGTCACACACTACGGTGAGGTTATCTCTCTCTCATTGAGCCCAAGTACCCACAGTTTCTCTCTTCTTCATAGTAAATCTGGTAACTGTGTGTCCATGTTGTGTCCTATCTCCCCAGGCGGAGGATGAGAGATTTGCCTCCCAGAGACAAGTCTATAAGGACATTGGAGAGGAGATGCTGCTTCATGCGTTTGAAGGATACAATGTCTGTATCTTCGCCTACGGACAGACAGGTTGGTTCACCTATCTAGCTATAAATACTACCCATGATATATTGACCTATCTAGCTATAAATACTACCCATGATATATTGACCTATCTAGCTATAAATACTACCCATGATATATTGACCTATCTAGCTATAGATACTACCCATGATATATTGACCTATCTAGCTATAAATACTACCCATGATATATTGACCTATCTAGCTATAAATACTACCCATGATATATTGACCTATCTAGCTATAAATACTACCCATGATATATTGACCTATCTAGCTATAAATACTACCCATGATATATTGACCTATCTAGCTATAGATACTACCCATGATATGTTGACCTATCTAGCTATAAATACTACCCATGATATATTGACCTATCTAGCTATAAATACTACCCATGATATAATGACCTATCTAGCTATAAATACTACCCATTATATATTGACCTATCTAGCTATAAATACTACTCATGATATATTGACCTATCTAGCTAATAAATACACCCATGATATCTTGACCTCTCTAGTCTATAAATTACTACCCATGATATAATGACCTATATAGCTATACATACTACCCTTAATATTGACCTAATCTAGCTAGAAAACTACTCATGTATATTGACATATCTAGCTATAAATCTACATGATATATTACCGATCTAGCTATAAATACTCCATGATATATTGACCTATCTAGCTATAAATACTACCCAGGATATTGACATATCTAGATATACATACTACCCAGGATATATGGACCTAATTAGCTACAAATAATACCCAATGATATATTGACCTATCTGCTTAAATACTACCCATGAATAGTGACCTACGAGCTATAAAACTACCCATGTATATTGACCTATGCTAGCTATAAATACTACCTGATCTATGGAATATCTAGACTATAAATACTTAACCATGAGATATGGACCTACTAGACTATAATATAATACCCATGAATAGAGATGTGTTTTCTGGTTGTTCATTCTATTCCAGGAGAGGGAAGAGTTACCACAACGATGGGCCGGCAGGAAGAGGGACAGGAGGGGATCATACCACAGGTAACTGACCCCTGACCTCTGATACATCTATACCATCATCACAGCCATCGTCGTTTAAACACCAACCTAAACGGATGCGGAATGAACCCATTTTGATAATGCAATTTACAATGTTGTAAATGTGATTGTATCTGTGACTCGATGATCTGCATCTCTCCTCTCTCTCAAGATATATCGCTCTAGCCATGCCATCCAGCGCTCTCTCCATCCCTCTCTCTGTCCTATCCCGCGCGGCGCGCAATCACTCCGCGCCAGAAGCCAGCGCGCTCCAGCCAGCGAGAGCGCGAGCGCTCGCGGCTCTCGTCTCGCGCTCTCATCGCGAGGAGCCGCTCGACTGCGAGCGCGCGTCGCTGACGCGCGCGCTCAGGCCAGAGCGGAAGCGTCGAGACAAATGCACAGCGCGTGCCGCAAGCCAGCGCGCGACCAGCACCGCGGCGAAGCGCGCGCAGCCGCGCGCGCCATGCCCCGCGCGCAGAGCGCCGCCAGCCCGGCGCGCAGCGCGAGCAAGCACCGCGCAAGCCAAGCCCAGCCCGCCGCGCGACGCACAGCAAGCCCGCGTCGCAGAGACGAGATGCCAGTCAAGATATCCGAGCCAGCCCGCGAGGAGAGAAGCCCTGAGCGAGGAAATGACGGAGCGAGAAAGCCGCGCGAAGATGGAGGAGCAGAACGAGATGCGATAAAGCAAGAGAGCGGAAAGCCGCGAGAGCGAAAGCCCGCGCGCGCCCACCCCGCGCGCGCAAGCCCGCGCAGCGCGCCAGCCCTAGCTCGCGCCAACCAGGCGCGAGCGCCCCAAGCCAGCGGAGCGCCCATCCCTGCAGCGGGCCGGCACACACGCGCGGGCGCAAAGCCGCGCGCGCTCCAGGCCCGCGCGCGCTCAATCCGCGTCGCGCGCCCAGCCGCGCGCTCGGCAGCCAACTCGCGCGCGCCCAGCCATGCCGCGCGCCAGCACCAGCCCGGCGCGGCAAGCCAGCACCCGCGCTCGCCGGCCCCGCTCGCGCCAGCCCGAGAGGCAGAGCGCCGCGCCAGCCCTCTTCGTAGGGCCAGGGCACAATGCGAGAGTAGGCCAGGGCCCGCTGCGCGCGACGAGCACCGCGCGCGCGCCAAACCGCGTCGCGAAACCCGTCCGCGCCAGCCCGCGCGCGCGCAATGCCCCTGAGCGACCCTCTAGCAGGCCAGGCCCGCGAGAGCGCAGCCGCGGATGAGGGCCCAGCTAGAGCGCGACGACTAGCAAGCGCCGCGCCGAGGCCCCTCGCGAGCGCCATCCCGCGCGCGGGCCTACACCGCGCGCGCGCCACCACGCGCGCGCGCCACCTCAGCGAGAGCACAGAACATGAGTCGGCGCGCCAGCCCGCGAGCGCCTACCACTGCGCGCGCCAGCTCCGAGAGCGCGCCAGGCCTCGCGCAGTCAGACGCGCAGCGAAGCCCCCGCGCAGCGAGCAAGCCAGGCCCGAGGCGCATAGCAAGCAATCCGCGCGCCAATGCCATCCCCGCGCTCTCCGGCACCCGTCTCTGTCTCGCGCTAGCGAGCGTCTCCAGCCAGCTGCGCAGCGCGCGCACCCGCCCGCGCCTCCAGCCAGCGCGAGCCACCCCTCTCGTCTGCGCACCCCCCCCCCCCCCACACCCCCCACCCCCCCCCCCACCAGCGCGCTCGCATGCCGAGGACTCGCCAGCCTAGCGCTCTCCACCCATCTCGTCTCCCTCCCCTCTAATCCCGTCTCTCTCTCCATCCCTCTCTCTCGCTCCATCCTCTCGTCTCTCGTCATCCCCCCCTCTCTCTCCATCCCTCGTTCCCCAGCTTCTCCGAGCCCTCTCTCCCATCTCGCCATCCACTCGCTCGCGTCTCTGCTCTCTCGGTCACCCGCGTCTCCATCCATGCCCCCCGCGAACGCGCCTCAAGCCATCGGCGCGCCCGCCATGCTCTCGCCCGCGAGCTCATCCCTCGGCTCTCCAGCTCTCCTAGCCATATCTCCCTCGTCTCGCTGCTCTCAAGCCCCCTCGTCGTGCGCGATGGCAAGAGGAACCGCTCATCGAGCGGAGGCCAGCCCTCCGTCGCTCTGTCTCCATCCCTCTCGAGCTCTCTCGCATCAGCTAGCGAGAGGCGTGTCGTCCAGCCAGCCCACGCGCTCTCGCAAGCCTAGCGAGCGATCGCTCAGCACGCGCTCGCCATCGCGCAGCGCCGTCGCTCCTCGCTCGCTAGCTTCGGCACCCCGCGGCTGCGCATCCATCCCCTCGCGCAGTCGCTGCTCCATACATCGCGTGCTCCATCCCCCCCCCTGATTTCTCCACCATCCCAGAGAGAGTGCCCAGCCCGCGCGCGTAAAGCGCGCCAGCACGCGCGCCCGAGCGCGCGCGCAAGCCCACAGCGCGGGCGCGTGCAAAGCCAAGCAATGCGACGCGCCCATCCCACACGCGCGCGCTACCAGCCAGCCAATGCGCTCTCTGCCAGCCCTCTCGCGCTCTGTCGGGATGAATAGCAGCCGTAATGAGAGGAGAAAGAAACCCGCCAGGGATGCTAGCACAGCCCCCCCTCGCTTCGCAGACAGCATGAGAGCGCGCATCCCAGCGCGAGCAAGAGCGCAGCAACGAGCGAACCGATCCGAGAGCGCGCGGGCAACCGAGAGCGAGAAAAAGGGAGAAAAGAGGAAGAAGCGAAGAGAAAAAATGAAAGAGGACGAGGAGAAAGGAAGAAAAAAAGACCTGTAGCATATTCAAGCCCACGCGCGCGCGCAAGCCAGTCTCGCTCGCAGAGATAGCCCATCACCCGCGACTCCAGCTGGCGCTCGCTCCAGGGCACGGAAAGAGGCGCGCCTCAGGCTGCCAGGCACCGAGCGCGCAGCAAGGCCACGCGCGGAGAGCGTCTCAGCCTAGCCCACGCGCGAGGCGCGAGTCCCGCGAGCGCGCGGGCGGTGCGAAACGATCAGAAAACGCTCGCGGCGTAAAGAAAAAGCAAAGGGCTAGAGAAGCAAACATAAAGAGAGACTGAGAAATAAAGAGGAGGAGAGAGAAAGCTGGTGAGGAGTTGTTTTTTAAGAGGACACGTTGGGAACACAGAGCATGTCTCCCGCTCAGTAGAGGTATGACACCCCCACTTCTAGACTGCATTCCCTTCCTTCCTTTACTTGGAGTAAAGCCCTAGTGACGATCAAGTCACACGCTTGCGAGCAACCCGTCGACTTGCTACCGCGGCCACACGGCACGTCGCCCCGGCATAGTCCGTATTCTATTACAGGTGTCATACATGGAGATCTACTGTGAGAGGGTGCGTGACTTGTTGAACCCTAAGTCGAAGGGTACACTCCGTGTTAGGGAGCACCCTATAATGGGACCCTACGTTGAAGATCTGTCTAAACTGGCTGTAACCGGATACAACGACATTCAGGACCTAATGGGGACTGCGGAAACAAAGCTAGGTGAGGGAACAGAGTGTGTGAGTGGATAGATTGATGATTATACCAATTCAGTGGCCTTGGGTTAGGGTTAGGGTTAGGGTTAGGGTTAGGTGGCCTTGGGTTGGGGTAGGGTTGTGTAGGGTTATAGGGTTAGGGTTTATGGTGGCCTTGGGGTTAGGGGTTAGGGTTATAGGGTTAAGGTGGAATGTGGTTGTAGAGGTTGGGGTTAAGGGTTTAGGTGTTAGGTGGCATGTGGTTAGGAGATGGGGGTTGATCGGGCTTTATGCTCTATGCTAGGCATTTTAGCCCCACACCATACCTCATCATACCTTCCCACTACCACGAACGAACAGCATTAAAAGATAGACCCTGAAGATAGAATAGTTTCCTTGTCCAGGGGTTTGTTGTCATGACTGTCTCACGACAGAAAAAAGGAGAAGACTGTGTCGGTCCAGGGGGTGGGTACTAGGTTTTACATTCAAGCGTCTCACAAAGAAAACAGGAGATTAGAATTGTTCCTGGTCCAGGGGGGGTACTGTACATTTCAAGCTTGTCTCACTCCAGAAA